AGCCTCCATATACGTGCCACAGGGAAGATACTTGCTCTGCACTGCAACTTTAGCCGTCCAGTCATTCAAAAACCCGGCCTTAACACTTCACATTGATGGCACTCTTGTAGCTCCATCTAATTATAACGTCATTGGAAATTCTGGTACCTGGATAAATTTCCAAAGAGTAACGGGAGTTTCCGTCATTGGTGGAACCCTAGATGGCCAAGGGGCTAATTTGTGGGCTTGCAAAAATTCCGGCAAGAGTTGTCCAACCGGAGCAACGGTATGTAAATGAAGAAGAAAGCCGACTTTATCATTTGAAATAGTTTTCTAATTAGCTTTGCATGCCTAAGTTGTATGGTAAATTACTTGCATGAAAATTCTAATGTACTTTTTGATTGTATCTTCCATACAGACACTGGCATTCTACAATTCAAAAAACATCATGATCAATGGATTATCTTCAATAAACAGCCAGAAGTTCCACATTCTGGTTTATGGAAGCCAAAACGCCAAGCTGGTGGGAGTGAAGGTTTCAGCGCCAGGAAACAGCCCGAACACAGATGGAATTCATGTGGAGAAATCCACAGGTGTCACAATTATGAACTCAAAAATAGGCACCGGCGATGACTGTATCTCTATAGGCCCCGGCACCTCCAACCTGTGGATCGAAAACGTTGCCTGCGGCCCTGGCCATGGAATAAGGTACTGGTTTCATCACATATATAAAGCCCGCAGTGGATAAAATTTTATAATATGCATCCCAATGATTTATTTGCCTACCTACAAGTGTGCTATAAATTAAATACTTAATACCCAAGTTGATTAATTTGTATGCCTTTTGCAGCATTGGGAGTCTAGGGTGGGAACTACAAGAACCTGGAGTGCAAAATGTGACAGTTAAGTCAGCTACATTTACAGGAACACAAAATGGGGTGAGGGTGAAGACATGGGCCAGGCCAAGCAAGGGGTTTGTTAAATATGTTCTTTACCAGCATCTTGTAATGGTTAACGTCGAAAACCCAATAATTATTGACCAAAATTATTGTCCCAATCACCAAAATTGTCCTCATCAGGTAATAATCGCTCTTGTAGCATTATAAATTTCATTGCTACTCTTATTTCTATACAGAAAAACACAACTCCCACCCTATTTCCCCTTACTTATATAGGATGACTTCCGATCCCATTTAATTCTGAAAAGGGTTTTATTTTAATTTTTCAGGTTTCGGGTGTAAAGATTAGTGATATAACTTATCAAGACATACATGGGAGTTCGGCAACCGAAATTGCAATGAAGTTTGACTGCAGTAAAGGAAATCCATGCAGTGATATTAACTTGGAAGACGTTAAGCTGACCTACAAAAATGAACCGGCTCATTCTTCATGCATTAATGCCGATGGGAAGACTTCTGGTTTAGTTCAACCCAACAACTGCTTGTATAATTAGAAAACAATTTGAAGGATTTATACTGGAACAAGATTATAGATCATATACTAAAAGCTAAGTTACAAAATTAAGAATGAGTATCGACACATTGTATCTAATACAAGAAATAAAGTTCGTATGAATGAAAGTGAAGAACAACAGGCTTTGAGGCTCATCCTGAATTCATCGTGTTTCCTTTATGTTTACATTGAATATTATTTTATTGGAGAATGTGTGGTTGAAAATAATAGGGGAATAATGTATTTTAGAANTATGAATGAAAGTGAAGAACAACAGGTTTTGAGGCTCAGCCTGAATTCATCGTGTTTCTTTTATGTTTACGTTGAATATTATTTTATTGGAGAATGTGTGGTTGAAAATAATAGGGGAATAATGTATTTTAGAATTAATAGAGCCCAAACAATGGTTTACTCTCCTCCCATATTTATTCGTCACATATATAAAAAGATGGTGGTAGAAGATGATTTTAATTATCTTTTATTGGCAGTTAATACTTGAAATTTAAAATAAAAACTAATTCCACCTTAACATTGTAACGGCATGCATGCCAATCACTATAAAAAAAAAACTCTGCTTCAACGACGGCGAATTCTATCGCTAATGCTACAATTTCCATTGGTAAAAGGTTTTAATTTAGCATCGAGTATAAAAATCCTTCGCTAATTACCAACAAATTAGCAACATATTTTTTGGTTAATCATTATTTACAAATTTGATTTAACGACAGCGGCAACAACTTCGTCCATCACTAATTACCTACGAAATTGAATAGTCACAAATTAGCGAGGAATTTTCATTCCTATTTCAGTTGCTAATTTAAATTAAAAAAATTTTAAAATTATATGAACCAACTCATAATTTTATTTCTCATTAAGATAATATGAAGTCCTTCACTTGGATTTCCAGAGAAATGGGAAATAACATAAAAATACAAGCTGAGCAAAGTTTGCCAATTCTAATTAACATAATAAAGAATACATAGTATGAGTAGTTACCATAATCCACCTGGTAAGAAAAACTGCTAATGCATGGCAAAAATGAAACATAAAACGGCTTGATTTTGCTTAATTATTTTAACTTTCCACATCTAACAAGATTTGCATAGAGGTATTTAGAACTCAAACACATGTTGTACTGGAAACTGGAAACTTCAATAGACGTACANAGTTACCATAATCCACCTGGTAAGAAAAACTGCTGATGCATGTCAAAAATGAAACATAAAACGGCTGGATTTTGCTTAATTATTTTAACTTTCCACATCTAACAAGATTTGCATAGAGGTATTTAGAACTCAAACACATGTTGTACTGGAAACTGGAAACTTCAATAGACGTACATCCCGATAAACAATCAAATGAATTTCCATATTCGTAATGAATGTCGTCGTCGTGGACTACGAATAACATTATTCAAATGGAAGAGGTGGATCTTGTTTTATTATTTCTAAAAAAAAATTAGATTTTAATTTTCATAAAAAAAAAAATACATCAATGAAAATTAATGTGTAAAATTTGATTTTTGCTCTATTTTCTCAAGTTATTATGGAATTATATTACAATATTGAGAAATTTATATGAAAACTATTAAATATAGAATAAAAATTGGAATGATAGTAGTAATTAAAGAAGTTAGTCATTGGATCTAACAGTTTATGTCGTTTAGCCGACAAATTGAATGTCTGAGAATCTTAAATAGTGTGTTGTGTCTGATGATAATTGTAAAACGATAAACAAGTCAAACAAAGTGTTTAAATAAGATTTATTTGAACGTATCGAAGAAATTGAATATTCGAACTTATTCGATTACATTTGTTGTAGAATCACGTCACCCGACAATTTTTATCATTATTACGTAAACTAAATGTCTGACAATATTGGATTTAAAAAAGAAAAAGACAAAAACACACCACTGTTTTAAAAAAAAGTTATCGTACAAAAAACTTGCATTTTACCTTAAAAAGTTGAACAATTTAACGATGAATATTTAGTATTTATTAAACACATTTTCGAAAAAATTGAGATTGAAATTCTTTAGATTTTTTCACTAATTATAGATATTAGAATTAAAATCCTAACAAATATGAAAGAAAGAAAGAACAAAAAAATGGGGAAAAGAGAGAGAGAGAGAGGGGAATATTCCATTTGGGATGAGACCCTCACGTCATAGTGGGGTCCAAAGCGAACGGGTGACAAAATCAAATAGAACCATTTAGCTCACCGCTTCACGTGGATATAATTCCCCTGTTTCTGCACGTGGAAATATCATCGCATAGTAGAATACTGGAAACTTCAATAGACGTACATCCCGATAAACATATGTTGTCATCATCAAATGGCTACAATCGTAGCACATCCTTTTAACATGGTACACATCAACTATAACAAA